ACTTGGCCTCCCTATCGCTGACCCTGCTAGACAAAGGTGAGAGCACCCAGACTCCCTGCCTCCCTGTCACCAGGCATCGGGGTGTCCCTGGGGTGGGTTGAGGCCTGAGGACTACATGTGGGTCCCAATGCCCTTGTGATGGCTTAGCCAACCTTGGGCATCCTGTGTGGGTGAACGTGGAGTGGAGGCCAGGCAAGTTCACAGGCACCTGTATTCACACTGTCACCTCTGCCCCCCCACTGACCCCACAGAGGACATCAGGGATGGACAGGGCAGTGAATCGGACGCTGATGGCCACAGCCTGGGGGAGCCCATGGTGAAACGAGAGCGTAATGACCCCAGCCACTCACTGCAGGGCATCTAGCCTCTCCCCAGCGCCTTCCATGTGCTTCTGGAAGGTGTTGCCTGGACCTCTGGGGTCTCTGGGCTCCACCACACCTGTGCCTCTTAGATCACACAACGTTTACCATGACCTGAGGGGGTCCCCAGTGCAGCCACCCCCAGAGGACCAGAGTCTTGACAACCATTATTCAAGCTGCCCACGCTCCTGCCCAGGTGCCCGGAGTCACAGCCACAAACCTGTCCCCTGCCTCAATACCCTGCTGCTGTAGGTCAGCCTCGGGCACCCTGACACTGCTGCAGGACCAGCCTCGGGCACCCTGACAGCTCCTCCCCTGCACCAGTAGCAGCTTAAACCATAATTTAAAAGAAAAACCTGGAAAGGGAGAAACAGGCCCTCCTCCCTGGGCACAGAATGGGGGAGCCCAGTGGGTACCCTCAGGCACGGATGCCCTAGCCCATCCTTATGGGGCACCTGTGTCCATACACACACCACCCAGGCCTCTTTCCACCAGGCCATGACCTCAGATGGATCTCACATGTGAATGGTATCCATCAGTATCCACCCATGGCCATCATCCACAGCCCCCACAAAAAGCAGATCCCAGAACCACCCACTCATGTCAGCCAGTCAAACCCACAATCAGGGTTCGCATGGGCAGAGACCTAGGTTTTCTGTCTAAGTTCATGGCAACATTGAGCCAGCCCAATAGGCCTGGACCACAGTTTCAAGAGGCCACATGATGGGCAGCCAGTCACATGTCCCATGGGCAGCACCCTACAATCTACATGCACCACAGTGCCTGACCCCTGCAGAGTCTTCCAGAAAACCACCCCCCGGAACAAGCCATCCTGGAGTGCTCTGACCCTTTACCACCCTCCCAAATGTCCTTTTTCAGGGGACAAATGAAAACCTTGACCACACCTGGCCCTGAGTTCTAGACTCCCCATCACGTGGCTGTCACACCGCACCACAGTTGCCGTGTGCAAGAATTTCTGACCCCAAAAACGGCCCCACCCCAGGAAGCGCAGCCTCATGAAATGTAGTAGTTTCTCTCGGAGAAGTGCTTATCCCATAGTTCTGTGCTTAGTTCTTAGATTTCTTGAGAATGTGTCCTTGCAGTACATCCAGCCTCAGTGCTGTTCACACAGACGGTACAAATGTAACTCACATGGCCTTTAAATTAAGCCTCGCCTCACAGCAAGTGGGAGCCCCATGCACCCCTCGATCTCTGCCAGGGGTGCTGCAGGTTGAAGAAGGGGACCGGAAGGGGAAGATGCACATGTATTATTGAAACAAAATGTGTATCTAGCTGTAATGTCTGGCCTTCGGTTTAACACAGATGAAATCAGAGAGGAAGAAAGTCTCTGAGTGCCGCCCCCGCTCTGGGGACGTCTAAGTTCAAGGTGACTTTTTGGAAGGACCCAAGTCCTTTCCCTGTGGAAACCAATAACAGACTGGCATTTTGTGTTCTGCTCTGTGTCATACTTTGTGGAGTCTGGGGGGGGTCACAATCTGCATCCAGCCCCCTAACGATGCTCCAGGGGACCTGTAGATATCCCCTCCAAACTTATGCTAGCACAGCCAGCCCCCACACCAGCCTGCTGACTCCCCAGAATGAAGGGGCTGACCCCTGAATCTTCCAGAATGAATCTGTGTCTCCACAAGGCCAGCTCTTAGCTGGAGATGGGGTGGGGTGGGAAAGGGCGCAGGGGTGACGGCATGTCCCCGTCAACTCTCCCCAAACCACTTCTTAGCAGCAGGCCCACATGTCTGGGGGAACAGGGAGTCAGCCCTAGCTCATACTCCTCTATCCCAGTAATGGCGCTCAAGGGCCCCTGAGAGGGAATAAAGATGATGCTTTTCCTGTTGCCGTGAAAAAGTACCTGACAACTTAAAGAAAGAAGGAAGCGGTTTATTCTGGCTCATGGTTCAAGGGTGCCGTCCATCATGGTGCGGAAGGTTTGGCAGCAGGAGTGTGAGGAGCTGGTCACATGCATCTGCAGCCAGGAAGCAGAGACAGGAATGCTGGTGCTCAGATCACTTTCTAAAACAAGTATGTGGCTGGAGAGCTGGCTGAGAGCCCCAGCTGCTCTTGCAGAGGACCCGGGTTCAGTTCCCAGTGCCCACATGGCAGCTGACAACTGTCTGTAACTCCAGTTCCAGAGGCATTGCACACACATGGTACACTTACACAGCAGACAAACACTCATACACATAAAACAAATCCAAAAGCTGTATAAAAACAGACCTTTGCCGGGCGTGGTGTTGCACACCTATAGTCCCAGCACTTGCGAGGCAGATGCAGGCAGATCTCTGTGAGTTCAAGGCCAGCTGGAGCTACAGGGAGACCCTGTCTCAAAAAGATCAAAAAAAAAAAAAAAGTAGGTTTTAAGGATTTGAATACAGGTTGCATGAGCTCTTTCCTGCCTGTTTACCCCGTCTCCTGGAGACAGCAGCCCCTTCAGGCCTCCCCAGCACCCAACATGCACCCCAACAGGCCATGCCTGTCCCCACAAACAAGAAGCTTAACGCTCTTCCCATCAAATGATCATCAAGTGTCCACATCACTCCCCATCCTTGCTGAGGTCAAGCCCAGCTCCCCAGGGGCAATTTGCAAAGACCTCCCAACAGCAGAGTTGGCCACCTGCCTGGCCTCCACCAACTGTGTTCTTGGGGACAGGTGAGTTGCTGGGATGGGAGGTGGGAGCTGCCTTCCAGAGCCTGGCCTGTGTGCTGTGTCTCTAGCACAGTGTCCACCCCTCCAACTTTGATTCCAACTGCCAACTAAAGACTGCCCTCTTTCAATGTGGGAGCACTCCACTTCTCAAGAGGTCCTCCAACACTAACAGTGTCAGTTGACTTGAACTTCTGAGCCTCATCCCTGCCGCCACTTCCCCAGTGCCGGGATGACAGGCATGCTGGGCCAGTGCTCTGTCACCTGCGCTCCAAGTACTATGCTCTACCCATTGAGCCAGAGCCTCAGCACCTGTGTTGATTTCTTTTTTTAAAATTTGTCTATTTAGGGGCTGGAAAGGTGGTTCAGCGGTTAAGGACACTGTTCTTGCAGAAGACCCATGTTTGAATCCCAGCACCCACATAGCAGCTAACAACTGTCTGTAAACTCCAGTTCCAGGGGATCTGACAGCCTTGCACGATATGGATGCACTTACTTACATGCAGGCATAACACTCATACACGTAAAATTTTTTTAAAAAAAATTTAAACATTTATATTTTTATTTCATGTGTGTTTTGCCTGCATATATGTAAGTGCACCCATGTGAGCAATGCTCACAGAGGCCAGAAGAAAGTGTCAGAGCCCCTGGAACTGGAGTTATGAATGGTTGTTAGCCACCATGTGAGTGTTGGGAACTGAACCCAGATCCTCAGCAAGAGCAGCCAGTGCTCTTAACTGCTGAGCCAGCTCTCCAGCCCCTATGTTTTTATTTATTTTATTTTTTGGTCTTTTTTGAGACAGGGTCTCCGTGTAGCCCCAGCTGGCCTGGAACTCACTATGTAGACCAGGCTGGCCTCGAACTCACAGAGATCTGCGTGCCTCTGCCTCCTGAGTACTAGGATTAAAGGCATGTGCCATCACACCCGGCCTTGATTTTTTTAAAAAAATACTTTAGTTTTATGTGTATGAGTGTATTACCTGCATGTATGTAAGTGCACTCATATAGTGTAATGCCCATGGAGGTCAGAAGAGAGCGTCAAATGCCCCTGGAACTGGAGTTACAGATGGCTGTTAGCTGCCATGTGGGTGTTGGGAATTGAATTCAGGTCCTCTGCAGGAACAGCTAGGGTTCTTAACTGCTGAATCATCTCTGCAGCCCCTGTGTTTTGATTTTTTTGAGACAGGGTCTTGCTTTGTAGCCCAGGCTACCTTCAAGCTCATGTCAGTCCTTCTGCCTCAGCCTCCTGAATGTTGGGATGACATTCCACCAACACCTAGCTCCAACTTCTGACATGTGACACCCCAATTTTGAGATTCCCAACTGGACTCTGACAGCCTCTGATGACTGCTGGGTTCTCCCTTCACACCCCCCTGCCATGTGAACTGGACATAGTCTTGCCCAGTCAGAACAAGGGGACACATGTCTACATATGGCCTGCATCCCCTGGACCTTGAGGCCACAGAGGGGACACAAACTGAGAGATCAAATCGCTATTTAATGGTGTGGTGGCTCCTGGGTCCAGCCTGGTCCTGGGGCAGCAGTGCCAGCCAGGCCCACAGCCTGCTTGTTCCTTGCATCCAACTTGCCCTTCTTGCTGGTCAAAGCTCCCTTTTTCCCACATGGATGGGACTTCAAGCCAGGGGCCATGGTGTCAGCGACAGGGGGCCCTGGATGGGGTGGTGGTGGCTCATCATCCAGTGCTTTAAAGTTGAAAAAGTAATCGACATTGGTCACTACATCCAGGATTTCGGGGACACTGTAGTCAAAGGACAGCAGCTCGTCCGGCAGGTGCAAGGAGCGGATGTCAGCTGTTGAGTCACCCCCACCACTGCCACTGTCCGGCAGGCCAGGCCCAGGGATCCTGTGCAGGGTGGCCTCGGGCTCTGCACCTCCCGGGAGACAATCAAAAAGTTTCATGGCATCTTCTAGAAGGATCTTGTCTGGCAAGAAGAAAGCATGGGCCACTTCAGGGGGCATGGCCTCACCTGTGGCCATGGGGGCCACGTCCTCTGCATCGGTCACCCTGGGCTCCACAGGCCCTGGTGGGCACCGCAGACCCGGCCTCGCCACACAGCCACCCTGCGGCTCTCTGGACACCTCGACAGGTCGCATGGCCACCTGGCCATCTTGGTACAGGCCAGCCTGGCCACCAAGGGGGCTGTAGGGCCCAGGTGGCAGCACGTGGTCCATGGGGAGTGTTACAAGCATCGGTGATGGTTTGCTTTCTTTGGGGGTCAGTGGGGGTACCAGGCCTCCTCCGAGCATCTCAAGGAATTTGGGGGGCCCTCCATCCCCCACAAAGCCCAATGCCTCAGGCCCAGGCTCCTTAGGTACAAAGTAGGACATGACGTATTGAGAGCCACTCAGGGCCAGCTGGTAGTGAGGGTACAGTGGAGGCGGTGGCCCTGGGGCCTTGAGGTAGGATGGGGGCTCCAGCAGGTAGCCACCAGGTTGGGAGGGATCCCCAGCCACCGCCGGCTTGTACAGGGATGACCGTCCGAAGTCAGAGGTGGCCCACTCGATGCGGTATATGCGGGGGTCGAAGCAGCAGCCACAGGGGGCCATATGGAAGCCTGCAGGATGGCAAGCCGGGACACTCAGAGGTCCTCACAGACAACACCATGGCCTCGTCTGTGAGGCCCAAAGGAAACCGTCTGTGCCTTTGGGGGTCATTTGGGGAGTAGAGGCAAGTGCTTGGTATTTGGAGGTTCATGGCAAGGCAGAACATACGGAGACTGGGGTCTGGCATGGGGGTGACATGGGTTGGTTTCTTGTGTTTTTCTAGGAGGCCATGGCCTCGGGGGGTCTACAGGATCCAGGTGCAGGCCTTTAGAGCCTTAACTAAGGACAGGAGTTACTGAAGAAAGTTTTAAACAAAGAATGAGTGGCCTGGTCTCTGGGCTCATTTCAAACTATGGGACACATTTAGCTCAGGAACACATTTAGGAACCTGTCTGGGGCAAGGGAGGGACCCGCTGTCAATGTTGGGGTCTCATCTTGGGGCAGGGGCCTGCTAATGGCAAGATGCAGGGGTGGCTGGCCAGTACCTGCTGGAGGGGCTGGAAACACATCTTTATCCGTGTTGGGGGGCTGGTAGCGCAGGCTGGCGTTGGCTGTGGATAAAGGCATCGGGTGGGTGGGGCCAGGAGCCCAGGCACCATGGCCATCACACACCCCTGCAGGCTATCACCATCGTACCCACGGCAGGAAGGGGCTCCAGGCCACCTGGCACCTCGACACCCTTCAGGCCCTGTAGGCCGAAGCCTTCCTGGGGAACAGCTGGGAAGTACTGGGTTTTGGGGTGCTGCATGGGGGAAACGGGGCCCCAGGTAGCAGCAGAGGCACCTCAGAGGCAGAGCCCCACTGGGTTCTGTTTGCCCTGTTGCTAGGTGTCGGGTTCCAGGCCAAGACCAGGAAACCTGTCAGGTTCTGGGGTGAGGTGGGCAGGTGGCAAAGAAGGTGCCTCCCACTACCTGTACAGGCCGTCCTGGGGCAGGGTGCCCTGAACCACAGCCCTGAGGATGCTCGCCAGTGAAACAGGGTGGCCAGGAGGCTCCAGGAAAGAATTCAGAGTGTACAGGGACCAGAATTCAATCAAGGACAGATAGGGAGAGGCCACCTTGTCACAAAAACTCTTAAGAAAGCTGGGTATGGTGATGCACACCTGTCTGTCTGTCCCAGCACTCCAGAGGTGGTGCACACCTGTCTGTCTGTCCCAGCACTCCAGAGGTGGTGCACACCTGTCTGTCTGTCCCAGCACTCCAGAGGCGGTGCACACCTGTCTGTCCCAGCACTCCAGAGGTGGTGCACACCTGTCTGTCCCAGCACTCCAGAGGTGGTGCACACCTGTCTGTCCCAGCACCCCAGAGGTGGTGCACACCTGTCTGTCTGTCTGTCCCAGCACTCCAGAGGTGAGGCAGAAGGATCAGGAGCTGAAGGTCACCCTGGCTGCATGAGACCTTGACTCAGAAACCAAGATGGAAATTGAGGCTTGGTCTGGGTAGAGTGCTTGCCTAGCACCACTGTAAAGTGAGTGTGGTGGCTCCAGTCTCCCAGCACTCAGGAAGTGGAGGCAGGAGGATCAGGAGTTCAGTGCCAGCCTGAGTTACATGAGACCCTGTCACAAAAAAAAGCCGGGGGGGGGGGGGCTCTAATCTAAATGACAGCACATGCTTCTAATTTCAGGGGTACTCGCCTTTAATCTCAGGTCCCAGAAGGCAGAGGCAGGTGAATTTCTGTGAGATGGAGGCCAGCCTGGTCTATACAGTGAGTTCCAGGTCAGCAGGGCTACAATAGTGAGACTCTGTCTCAAAACACAAATAAAAAGAAATTGTAAAAGAATAGAATTTATTGTCTTCGTTGCTACTTGTAGGCGTTGGCCTTGTGCTTGGGCAGGAAGACAAAGCCCGGTGGAACTGGTCCAAGCAGCATCTCACTGTGGGAACAGGAGTGGCAGGTCAGGCCTGACATTCCCGGCATTGCCTTGCAGAGCCCAGCCAGGCCAGTGGGTACCTGATTCGAATCCAGTCTGCAGCCTGCTGGCTGGCCATGAGTGTCTCCAGGTGGTCCCGGCCCAAGTAGTAAGGTGGCCGCTCATTGATCCTCTGAGGGAGTCTCTCCAGTAGGCCCACAGGCACATACCTGTGGATTGGGGCCGAGGAGGCAATAAAGCCAGGTGAAGCTTGTGGCTACATGTCCAGCCCTGGCCTACCACTCACCCAGCCTGGTGCCCACCTGCACAGGAAGGAGAGCCACTCTAGAAGAAAGCGCCGGGTACGCTCCACACCCTGCGTGTCAGAGCCCCAGTGCTCCAGGCCATAGTGGGTGAAGTCCTTCAGGATGTCCAGGCGTTCAGTTGATGAGATGTCCCAGTGTCTCTGTTCTTTGATCTCCGTAAACAGCCAGGGCTTTAGCAAGGCGCCACTGCAGTGGTCAGAGGTGTACGGTCAAAGGGGACTGTCAGTGGGGATGGTCAGCAAGGACCTGGCACCTCCTGGCCACAGTCACCACACAGCCCAGGCCTCTCCCATCCATTAGCTCTAGTTGCATAAATTTCAAGAACACACGCCCCACCCCAATGGCTGGCACTCACCGGGCAATCATGACACCTGCAACCCCAGTCTGCATAGCACGGTTGGCATCCTCAAAGGACAAGATGTCCCCATTTCCTGAGGGGACACAGAGTATAGTTGGGGGACATCATGGGTCTTGGAGTTTCCAAAACCTGGCATCCTCCCTGCTGTGGCCTAAGTGGCCCTCATGACTTCTGGCACCTACCAAAGAGAGGCATGGGGCTGGCCACCTTGGCGCACTGCTCAATGTAGGGCCAGTCGGCCAGCCTGGTGTAGCGCTGTTCCCGAGAGCGACCATGGAGCTGGGAAAGAGGCCGCGGGGGACAGAGGCAATGAGGCGGTACAGAGTGATAATAAGAATCAGATAGAAAGGGGGAGGGCCATGGCGATCCCCAAGTCCTGACCCCATGGCACCCTGACCCACCGTGACCAGAGCAACACCCCAGTCCCGGAGCTCAGGCAGCAGGCGGTGTGCCAGGCTCACACGCTCCTGGACACCTGTACGCATCTTCACAGTCAGAGGTACATCCAGCACCTGTGGGGATAAGTGACAGAGAAAACACGTGGTGCCACCCAGTAGGAATGGGGGTACCATGTGAGATGGAGTACATATGGGGATGGAGGTACAACGTGTCTCTGGGGAGCTGGGATTACCTCATTCACGCCCCGAACAATCTGCTGGAACTTGGTTGAGCGGTTCATGAGTGCACAGCCACCACCCTGTGGGACATGGGGACCTGGTGACCCCCAGAAATGCAGAGATAGCCCCCCTCACAGTCACCTGCATGCAGCTGAATTCTCCGCCACTCAACTTGGTACTCTGTGTGTCGGGATGGGGAAACTGAGGCATGAGGTCAGCGGGGCTGGGGGCTAATACTGGGTCACCCCCATCCTGGGCTCCAGGGATGAGTGATCTGTCACCTTTTATTGATTTTTTTATTGTGTGTGTGTGTGTGTGTGTGTGTGAGAGAGAGAGAGAGAGA